TTTGGTTTTTGGTTTTTCTCCGGTACCGGGAACCGAACTCACGACCTTGCGCTTGCCAGGCAGGCGCTTTGCCGCTGAGCTAAATCCCCAGCCCCTAGTTGTAAAGTTTTGATTTCCATGCCTCATTTCTACCTATTCTTCTGTGTTAGCTCATTTAGTCATCTTCCTGGTAATAGAACAACAGTGGTGGTGTGGTAGGATAGGGAAGAGAGTGGGTACAAAACCTGCCAAATGAGACAAGGGAGATTATGTCCATTCAAAAATTGTCTCTGGGTTACAAAGTTGGAGAATACAAAGGCTTTTTGTTCAAAAGATGTGTTCCTTGGTTCTGCCTTGCACACTGGTAAAGATCTGAGTGGAATATAGAGGGATTTCATAGATGAATTAGGACAAACCAAAAGGTTGTGAGATCACATCTAGAAATAAAGCACATCATTTAACCAAAAAACCCCCAAGAAACTGGGGATTGATGCAATCTAAAGCATACTAAAATAATGGGATTCAAGGATAGAGTGTAGCCATGTGTAAGGCTCTGGGTTTGACTCTACCACCACACACACACACACACACACACACACACACACACACACACACAAAAGATAACATGACTGTGATACAGGGCCTATGATAGGACCTCCAAATAATCAAAAGGAGGTATAACTTAATCTGCTAGTGTCCGATATGTAAATTCATATTCCCCAAAATTGAAGAATGAAATCTAAGGAACAACGGAGGTTAAGAGCAGGAAATATTTATTAGGGGAAAGAAAGCTTATGTGTAAAACAGGAGGGACCTGAAAAGTGAGTTACCCAGGAGCCTACTTCTGAGGAGAGGCAACTTTATGGAGTAAAATCATTAAGTGGGTATAAGTTGGGAAAAAGCTGATCAATTAATAAGATTACAAGTATAGTCTCAGGTAGTACTAAACCAGTGGAAAGTCACGAGGTTATTGTAATGTGGGACAAAATTATGGTCTGCCAATAAGGGTACAAGTACAGTCCTACATAATATTGATCCAGTGTGGAAGCAAGTCCCAGAGCAAGTGTACTTTGACCTGGGCCTAACAAGGACTTTTCCTGGAACGTGGGTGGGTCAGAGAGATTTTGGCCCCTCACCCAACATGATTGATGCCAATTTAGAATGTCAATCATTGCTGTTCATCCCACCCAGGAAGTTTGTGGATGTAGTCATTCTGTTTTGTATCTTGAGGTCTGCCCTTCAATGTCATCTGGCATGGTAAATCACAGTTAATATATTTCTGTCTGGAAACTTAGGGTGATAATACATGTCTTGTTCAGCTACTTGGGAGGCTGAGGAAGAGGGATTTTTTTAGGGTCCTGGGGCTTGAACCCAGGGCCCTATACATGGTAGGCAACCACTCTGCCAATGAGGTATATCCCTAGCCCTTTTTTATTTCTTTTTTGAGATGAGATCTCACTTAAGTTGCCCAGCTGGCCTCAAACTTGTGATCATCCTGCCTGAGCTTCCCAAGTGGCCAGGATTAAA